ATTATTAACTTACTTTAATTAGTTTGATTTTTTAACAGTACACTATTTAAGTAATGGAAAATAAACCCCTTATAATAAAACTGTAATTTATTGTTCTTTTAATAGTAACCCCTGCCAAATGAAAATTATGATCCCTTTACATATTCTCTTTAGGGCAGTTAATAGATGCTATCATTTTTGGCTACCAGCACCTGGAAGTTGGAGTTTGTTTTTTAGCCTCTGATTGCCATATTCAAATACAATCTGAAATAAATAATTCCTGCCATCCCCATGCCCCACTTAGAATAAAAGTGCCTCTGATTATGAATTAACTGATGAAGGAATAGAGAATATATTCATTCCTATTATATTATTCCTATAATAATATATTAATTACCAGCATTAATGGCTTTCGCCTCTATAGTAGCATGTATACATATTCAGGGCACAATGTGTGAGTGAGTCCCTCTGTATAATGTATACTTCGTGTGTGAGTCCCTTTGTATAATGTATACTTCATGAAATAAGAGATAGTCAAAGCAGTCTGCTAAGCATAATGAATCTTCAAACCTGTTGTTTCAGGAGGATAAGAGGAAAAATCTACATAGACGATTACGAACCGAAAAAGTAAGATAGTAGCCAGGGATATAGCTCAGTGGCATAAGCACCTGCAAGTAGAAGGTCCTGAATTCAATTTCCAGTACCAAAGAAAAAGTGAGATTTTAAAACAATTCCCAGAAACTTAGACTTCTTCAGAACAGTAACTTCTGAATGGGAACCATTCAAACCAATCCTCATATAATTTATGCCTGTGCAGAATACTTTGGGGCAGAATTATTTGGTATAGGTAAATATCGAGAATATGGTTGGCTCTCTCTGAACAAATGTACAGATATAGCAGAAATCTCTATCAGAGGTTTCAAACCAGTGCTTGTGATCTAAAATCAGTGCTCACACATTTTAAATTTTTTTCTCTATTGTATTTAAAATATTTTAATTAAAATTTCAGTATCTCAGAAGTATGATTTTTCATATTTAAGAAGTTATATTTCCATAATAACAACAATAAGAGCTAAATTACAGGGATGGACTCTTAGTTCACCAAAGTCCCTTGGTCGCTTAGTCAGGACCTCATGCCTGGCAGCATTTGTATTGATGACCTCTGAGCAACACAGTGTGCTTACACCCTACTACAAAGAGTGAGGGTGTTGGCATCCACTGGTTTGTCTTAGTGATTTCTGTAGTTACATAGACTTCAGGGTTTTTTTCTTTTTTTAACAAATGAAAAAATATTTTGGAGAGTTTTATTCTATTGTTATGCTGTCCTTTCTGTAATGTAACTAGGCCTAAGAAAGATGATACTATACTATGGAATATATAAAATCCAAGAGCTTTACATAGCCTCATAGCTCAAGTTTTGAAACAGTATAGGTTATGATACTGCTTTCTCTACTTGATGGAAATGTCTGTAGCATCCAGACAATGTTACAAATATTTTCTTAACTGCATTTTTTTCTAAAAAAGACTCATAATATTACTATGAGACTACATTAACTGATATCATCCAAGGTGAATTTTTAAGAAAAGACATTATTTTTGGCTTACAAGTTTTGGGATTCAAGAGTCTGGTTTCTGGTCAAGCTTAGGGAAGTGCTTTCGGCTGATGGCAGCAGTGACTAGGGCGCGTGGAACAGGTCCCATGGGCAAATAGGAAGCGAGAGACTGGAGAGTGCCAGGTTCACTCTTTTTATAGCCAGCCGCCACTCTTGGCACAACCAGACCACTGCAGAAGGACCTTAAGCCCTTCCAAAAACAGTGCCCCCAGGACCCAACTACGTTTTGTTAGGTCCCACTTCTAAAATGTTCCACCTTGGTGCTGCCACAGTGGGTCCAACTGTCCAACACATAAAACTTTCAGGAACACATTCACATCATATCCAAACCATCAGCTTAAACCAGAGGACTCCTCATTTGAAGGGAATGCTCTGTTGTGCTTGTCAAAGATCTTTCTCCTTTATTCCTTCAAGCTATGAAGGGAGATAATTCACTGTGTTATCCATACTTTACAGAGAAGAAAATGTATGTACATTGGATATTTCAGTATTCGATTGTTAGATAAACTTAATTTTAAAAAGGACTTTGCCAGCTTTGTGGATTACACTTGATTTAGTACCAGATCTCTTGACACTGATGGTGTCTGCCACCATGATGTTTCTGTTAGCATTTCTAAAATTAGACATCAAGGCAGGAAAGGCAAATCTCTATTCAGAATATTATTCCTATTCCTGTAAGTGAGTTGTTACTGCTTCCTGAGTAAGAGGGGTCTGATGTAATCACAGTGCTGCTAACTTTTTATTCTGCTGCATCCCCTGCTATTGTCCCTCCGTTGTATGCTCTGTCTTCTTTCTAGCCCCCTCTCCCTTGTGATCAAGAGCTCGCAGAATAATAGGCTCATGCATATTCTTCTTGCTTCTCCACATGCATGATAGCTATGTCTGGGCTTAATGTAGGGCTTTGTGTAGCCAGTTCTTTATGTCGGTCTTCATGCTAGTATCCAGTTTTATAGCTTTCAGAGGTAGAAACAGCCTGTTGCAGCATGCCTGCCACAGGCCCACCACCACGGTACTGTGCCATCATACTGCAGTAGGCTTCTGGTTGTCTTGAGGTTGGATATTGTGATGGCTTTAGGTTTATTCTTTTTGCTCAGTTTTGCTTTAGCTGTTCTGGTTCTATATGAATTTCAGGATTGGTGTTTCTAGTTTTGTGAAGAAACTTTGGTATTTTGTAGGAGACTGTGTTGAATCTGTAAATTGCTCTTAGGAGTGAATGACTTATTCACAATAGCTGCTGAAAATACTGCTAGTGAACACCCCACCGTGACTTTGGAACAGTTTTTGGAGACATTCACAAGGTCTTTCTACTGCTTTATATGTAGCCTGTGTTGAGACTCTCAACTGTATTTTTGTTTGACTTACTGAGTTACTCAAGTCTAAGATTTCTGTTTTATTCTTTTTCATGATCTCTATCACTTTGCTGAATTTCTCATTCGTGTCATGAATTTTTCCCCTATTTTAACCTATTGTAGTCTCCATAAGTTTCATTATCTGTATTACTGTCAACTGTTGAGTTCCCTCAGAAGCAGACTCTGACATTAAGATTCCTGTGCAGGAAATTGCATTTTACAAAGTTCTTAAATTCAATACCAGTGGAAGAGCAAGCAAGGAAACAGTTGGCTTTAATTCGGCTTTGATTCACTAATCTGTAAAAACCTCAGCTGCTCCTGAGGAGCTCTAAAGCCAGAATACTCTGCAAAGTTATCCTGAATTTGTGTGGCTCTACCCTTAATGCCTCTGAATGGACAAATTACTAGAAATGGGCTCACCAGAAGTTATTCCAAAGAGATAGTGAGGTGTTTGCTAGCAGAATTTTCATTGGCTTCATAGATAAATCATTTACTCCTAAAGATGATCTGGGTGGCATATCACAGCATTCATTATAGTTATTTAGCATACACTTCGTTTAATTTTGTACTGTAAATTACTCTTAGCCACGTGGGAAGGTGAGACATTATTGTGTGGACTAAAATTTTTCTAGCAGTTATTTTATTCAAAGTCTGAACTGTGATTCCTCATATTGAATTGTTAATTATTAATCATCTCTTATTTTTATTCCTCTGTGTAATGAATCATTCATTTTTCTGTAACCCCTTTACATAATTGAATGGTGAGATGAATTTTTTAAAAATCCACTTTACAAAATACTTCCAGTCCTTCATCTAGCTTTAGTGCTGTTTATGATTTAATAAATAGCTTTGAAACTATGAAAATAGAATCAGCATTTTGTATTATAGTTCTCAAATTTTCTTTGAAATAATGTGAAGCTCATTTATTACTTTATATACAAATATATATATTGAGACTAATAGAACTTCAGTAGAAAAAAATTTGAATCATTTTCTAGGAATGGTATAGATGCACTTTTCCTTCTCGCTCAGCTTAGGTGTACATGGTAATGGAGTAATTCTGGTCTTGTGCTGCCAGCTGCCTCATCAAGGCACTGAGCCTTTGCTCCCTTGTTGGGAAGATGCTGCTGAGTTTATTCTTAAATGGGTTAAATGTTTCAACAGCTTCTGTGTGAACAGTATGGCCTATGTTGAATTATTATGTTTTATTTATATTTTACTAATTTCAAATAGTTCAGAGTTTGCACTGACAGATTCTTAGAAATCTCTGCAGCTATTAATCCTTATCACTTATACTGATTACCATTGAAAGATTCTTACTATGCACTTATATGATCACTTATATGAATTTTAGATGAAGTGCTTTAACACAGACTCTTCTTTTCTTAAGACTTTGTATTTAGAGATACAACAGCATGATTATTTTTAGAAAGTCCAAGGAAATTTGTGTGACACTATAATATGATGTGATGGTTATTTAGTAACCATATGAACATGTCCTGTTTCCAAACACATAGAAACTACAAAACTTAAGACAAAAATTGAAAATAGTAAAATTAGAAAGAGTAAAATTCTTATACTTTCCAATAAAATGAACTTCGTTAATTTTAAATTACAAAGGCAATTTTTCAGTTACTCAAAATTTGAAGCATAGTTTTTTGTTTATTTACCATGACTGCTAAAGAGTTTGAATGTTGACTTGTGATTTAAAATAATGCTGAAGCTTTTAAGTGTGGTTGTAATAAGAATGTCACCTCTCAACATTTAATAAAATTACTTCTAAATGAATGCTGTAAACAGTAAATATAAAAAATGTTTTTGAAGGGCTAGTACCAAATATGCCCTTTAAATAATTTTCCTTAATTATACTAACACAGGAACATCTATTTTCGTTTTCTTTTTTGTTCTCATTTTTTATGACATTAAACTTCTAAAACATAATTTAAAATATATTTTGGTAGAACTGTATTCATTTTACATGTTGCATTTTTTTTCTGTTTTTAGAAATAGATATCAGAACAAAATAAAAAAGTTTGTATTTCTTTTCATTTCCTTCTAGATTTATTCCTCACTACATTGTCTGCCTCTAGTACATTCCAGTTTGAAATATGGGAAAATCTGGTAAGAAATCTTTTCTTTGAAACATTTTTAAATGATGGCTATCAGTAAAGGTATGCAATGTAGAAAATAAAATTAATCACTTGGTTGGTTGATTTCAACAATAAATAGAATAGCTTTAAGAGCCTTTGGTTGCATTGCTGCATTTAAACTGCCAAGTGTTGCTGAAGAAAGTGATGCATTCAGCATTAGTTCCTCTGCAGGTTTTTAGGCATGACTGCCAGTTAAACTAGTCAGTCTACTCTAATGTACTTGTTAACGGGACCCCTGCTAGGCTGTCAGCTGGTGAGAGAGATTACTGTCATTTAATTTGTCAGCATGGTGGTTTATGAAGGAAACCTTTTTAAAAGACTAATTTTTCCTCTTTGCCTTTAGGCTTATATAAAGAAATAAGAATGTATACTAAACTTAGTGCCAGGTTGATTAGGATTAAGGAGTCTCCCAATAGTTTGGCTTTTTGTTTGTTTATAGAATCCTAAACTGATTTCATTATTTTATTTTTAGCCAAAGATTAATTAATAAACAGTAAATCACTTGAAATCTTGAAGCTAGATTTCAAGATGTATACTAAAAGACAGGATTTAAAGCCAATAAAAATGGACCAATTTAGTGACATGTATCACATATTGGTCAAGCCTAAAACTTAAATTTCCTCATATGGAGAAAGAATCTGCTTCACAGATTGATGTTGAAAATTCACAATGTTTACAATACCTTGGAACACAGTAGGGACATAACAAATTTTAGTTTTAGATCTCTTGATTTCCTGATTACTCTTATCTTTTATTTCATGCAAATTAAACCTGTTATCTTCTATGAATTTTATTAAAATACTGTAGAAAAATAACTATGTTCTAACAAATATAAAGCAAAAGCTTGTAGAAGGAGATTGATTATTAGCCATTTCTTACAGCATGATTATTGGCATTGCTTAGCACTCAGATTTCTTCATGGATGGAAACAAAACAGGAGAAGGGCTTTGGTTAGGCAAGAACAGAGCTTCTGACTGCTTCTAAACTAAGTAACATCATCACTTTTTTCATGGGGCAAGGAAAAGTAGGAAGTTTATCTTAAAACTAAAAAGACTTTGTTTAATATTTTACTTACTAAAATTTTATATTTATGTTTCTAATGATTAGAAATATGGTTTTTACACACCTTACAATTTTTATACATTAAGACTCTCATTACTGGATGACCTTTCATTCCTACCTCAAGTGAATTTTGAGGTACAGTATTAGAAAAACAAGAGATCTACTCGATATAGTTTGTGGCTGAGGGGAATAAAGCCTCGATATAGATAAGTAGGATGTGTATATAAAGTTATGAAATACTTTGAAGTATAAAATAAGATGTCCTTTCACCCTAGTCTGTTTTTACATGTAGTAACATAAAGTAACGAAGTTCAATAGGAAAAAAAAAATCTTCATAAAGAGAATAAATTTTGATTGAGATATTTTCCCCTTGAATATGATTTTCTTTAGAGAAAAATTACTAAACTGGCTGGTAGGTAATAGGGAGTAAGACTTGTTCATAGGGAGTAAGACTTGTTCTTGCAATAACACCACTGTGTCTGTCAGTAACCATTAACGAAAAAATTATTCAGACACTTGTTAGAGGTAAAGACATTATTTTCAAGGGTCTGCGATCATGGGATTTTATGATAGGAGGGAAAGATCGTACTCAATTACAAATATGACGAAAGAAAGTGGAACAGCCAGGAGCAGGGTGGAGGTCAGTGAATTAAAATTGTTAAAGTAGTAGAATAATTCTTTGCGAAACTCATCTAAACAGGGGTTTAGCTAAAGACAGGCCAAAATGAATAGATGTTAACTGACAGATTCTGGGTAAACTGATGCTGCAGGGTTCTCCCTACAACTGAACTGGGTAAGAAGGAAAAAGTACCAATTTGGGCTCAGCCAAGGAGAGATCTCAAAGGAACTCAAGGAAAGTTTGGTTAAGGAGAGGATTTGGGTGAGTATCCATGCTGTCATCAGTACAATTACGAAATACATAGATTCAAAATTAACTAGTTCAGATAAAGTATATTCGTAAAATGGATGATCATTTCAATGAGAAATTGGTCACTTTAATATAAAATTGACCAAAAAACTCAAAGCCCATACCATGTTAGCTAGAAGTTTAGGAACTACATAAAATCCTTCTCTTTTTTTGGTCCCACTACGTAGCCAGACTGGCCTCAAACACATAGCAATCCTCCTACCGCAGCCTTCTAAGTGCTGGGATTATAGACATGCGCCACCACTCCTGGCCATCACATCATTTTTTAAAGGACTAAGGATATAGTTCAGTGGTAGACAATTTGCATAAGGCCCTGGGTTTGATTCCCAGCACTGAAAAAGAAAAAAAAAAAACATGTCAGATCATCAGTTGTGTGTACAGCTGCATGACATTGCCCTGGGAGACACAGATGTGAGTAGAGCTTGCAGACTGGGGGGGGGGGGGGGGGATGAGTTCTGAATGTGGATAACTGCCTGGTGCCTCGAGCTGCAAAGCTTGTGCTGCAGAATTTAAAGACACAACAGTTGTGTCTCTGGTCCACCTATGATTCCATTGAAAGATGAGACATTTGAAATGGTTATGATAGAGGAACAGGATTTTAATGATTTGAAGTGAGAAAAAAGGAAGATGCAGACAACAAAGTATTCAGGAAACCCTGGATAATACTGAGAGTTCTAAATGGCTGCTTCAGAGTGGCTGATGAGGGCCAGAACATGAAAGAAATACTGGAAGGTAAGATTAGGAGAATCAGTTTTGGCACTAGCAGCAAAGGTCTCAGCTTCTAAACTAAGTAATTTGATCTTTTAAAAATCTATTTGGGGGGCAGGGATACCGCTCAGCAGCAAAGTACCTACCTGGCAAGCGCAAGGTCATGAGTTCCATCCAAGGTACCAAAAAAAAAAAAAAATTTGCTGGGCATAGAGGTGCACACCTGTAATCCCAGCATTTGGGAGGCTGAGGCTGGAGGATCGTTGCAAATCCAAGACCAGCATGGGCTACAAAGTGAACACATGGCCAGCCTGAACTGCATAATGAGACCATGTCTCAAAAAGACAAAAAAAAAAAAAAAAAAAATCTATTTAGAACTGATTAAAAGTTCTAGGACTGAGAGTGGGATGAATGCAGCTTTCATTGTTGCGGTAAATCTAGCTGCTGTGTTTTAGACAGGATAATGGGCTGTCTAGGGGTGAGGGAGTGACACAGGTAGAATGCACAGCCCCATAGGAAGCAGGCAAGCCATTGGCAGGAAACGGTAGATCGGAGAGGACAAGATGACCATAGAACAGAGAGAGAAAATGTAACTCCCTTAGGGTGGGGGGAAAATTTAGAATAGAGATATGTCAAGACAGTAGTTAGAAATGCAGAACGGAGACTTAAGGAAGCATAAGGGCACACATCATTGGGAAGAGTGCTCAGAATTTTACAATTTTGCCACTATTGCCATTGTGTTATAGAGAGCTATCACGTATACAATAAAGGTATTGTTGGCCTCTGTATACTAGATGCTAGTACCCACCCAGTCCCCAATTTTGGCAATTAAAAATGTATACAGACATTATCAAATGTTCTCTAAGGGGTAAAGTCACCCATTTGGAACCTCTGCTTTCCATGAATAAAGATACACATGATAATTGCCACATATTGCTTCCTGAACATATTCTAATAATTATGAATATGGCACTTTTAACATTTAATTTTAAAATATTCATCCTAAAGCATTGACATTCATCCATGAAAGGGTACGTGCTGCAACATAACACTTCCAGTTGGAAATTCAAGCAGAAAATGGCAGGCAATCCCCCTTATCAACGACTGTGCTCACCTGCTGTGATGGTAGTAATATTCCGGACAGATACTACCTGCTACAAGTGCTACTTCATATAAATAAATGCATTATTATGTGCTAGGCATATGTGTACATTATCTCAGTAATCACACACAAAGAAAAAAAAGAACTTGTAAAATTATATTTTTAAGTTAAGTCAACTGATGTGTAGAAAAGAACTTTTTCAGGCTTTAGAGTTAGCAAACAGTGGAGTTGGAAATGAACTAACAAATCTGTCTTTAAAACTTCTACCCTGTCGATTCCTGGTTCCACAAAAAAAAAAAAAAAAAAAAAAAAAAAAAAAAAAAAAAAAAACTTCTACCCTGAAATCATTGCACAATAATTCTAGAAAACAAATAGACAAAAGAAAGTAACAGAACACAGCTGCAGTAGAACCCCATATGGTCCTATTTTGGATTGCAGGAAAGTGGTGAAGTCCAGTAGGATCACCAAAGTAAACAATGAGCACACAAGGGACCTGATCAGTTCATGAGAAAAGTACTTGTGGGTTGAAAGCACAAGACTATCACTGTAAAATTTCCTTCCCAGTAGCTGATTTTGCAGAACACTTTCTTACCTTTCATTCCTCTTACCTTCTCCAGCAAGTACACGTACCCCCTTGTGACAGTGAATATCACCCAGAGGAGCAAGTGGCTGTCCCAGAGTGCTACCACTTGCCAGTGAAGGCAGCAGTATGACCCACATCCTCTGAACCCCAGACTGTTACTCTTCCCTCTCAGTGTAGGGCCAGGATGAAAAAGAGCAGTGATCCATGCTGTGTTTGTCTTCCCACATTAAATGGATAAGAGGCTCAACTTGAAGTATTGTGTTGTCCACTGAGAGCATTAGAAATATAAAGTTTATTAACTTATTTTCATCAAACAACATGTAAATGGAAAGTTATGTAGATTTGTACTGCCAAATGGAGTTAACAACAAGTAACGATGATGGTGGGAAGTTCATGTAAGTATTGTCTTTTCCTCAACTGTATCATGTATTGTATGTGTTCAGTATACACTCCTTTTGGCAAGAATATGTCCTCTTTCTATCTTAATTAGAAGAACATATTCTCCCTCTGTTGATCTCGCTGTGAATGTGGTACTTTAGACCTGGAAGCTGTTATTGACCAGCTTTTCTTGATGGAGGTGAGTGATGAGGTCACATGTGGAAGATGCACTTACTGAATTTCCCAGACCTCTAATGACCCACTCACTGTGTCAGTATATTGGGTTCATATTCAGTTTTATCTCATATGAGTCTGATATGTGCTAAGAGGGATTTTACATTCTTTTAAGAAACATTATATTTACTCAAGAAAGACTGCTGTGCAGGGGCTAGGAATTTAGCTCAGCGGCATAAGCACCTGCCTTGCAAGCACATGCAGCTTTCATTGTTGCAGTAAATCTGGCTGCTGTGTTTTAGACAGGATAACGGGCTGTCTAGGGGTGAGGGAGTGACATAGATAGAATGCACAGCCCCATAGGAAGCAGGCAAGCCTCACGAGTTCAATCCCCGGTACCGATTAAAAATATATATATATTTGAAAGAGTGCTGTGTTTTGTTTTGTTTTGTTTTTAATAGGGAAAGCACTTGACACTTAAGTCAGAAATCTGACAACTCTGACACAACAGTTCTAATATAATTTCAGGTAACAGGGAACCTTTAATATACATATGTAAGCAAGATAGCCATAGGAAAAAATCTTTAAAAATACATCAGAGGACCAGGGATATAGCTCAGTGGCGCAGTGCCTATCTGGCAAACACAAGGTCCTGAGTTCAATTCCCAGTACTGAAAAAGAAAAATAAAAGAAAAAAGTAAGTAAAAATACATCAAATACTTTAATAACAAGATAATCATGTTTCCATATGTAGATAATAGAATAAATGGCTGGAAACTTGCTTGTCATAAGACAAACCTTACTACTTTTGCATGGTCCTCAAGCATTGGTTTTTGTGCTTTTATTGTAGCATTTCCATTCCCTATAAAGGTCAAAAATTATTTTTTAAGAAATTGCCTGACAGATTAGCAGTATCATTAGAAGAACAAAGGAAAAACATTCAAGTATGTATATAAGTACATGGTAAGCAGGGTCAGTGTATCAAAGAGTGAACAGAGATGTCAGTAATAAGAGAGCTCATTATAAGACAGAGAGTTCAATATTCCAAACTCAGTTTTTATTTTTCTTATGTAGTAATCTAAAATTACAAAAAAGCAGAAGAAATAAGATAACAAATACTTATTATTTTTGTAAGCCAATTATGTGTGCTGTTTGATTTTGTAGAGTTTTGAAGACAGAGGTCTGTAATAGATTCTCCTTTTCTGCGGTACATGACAGCTGTTAGGATGTTTTGCTCTCCTTGACGATGCACATGAATTCAGGGGTCCTTAAGGGCCATTAGAATTCTCCTCTCATCTTCTTATCTTTCCCCAGTTCTCCCTAAAAGAATCTTTTATCCTTGAAATGTATAAAACATTGTGTCTTTGCTGCTTATTTGTATGACTTATGTTACCTTCAGAAATTCTGTCTTTCTGACTTTATCTTATCTCCCAACTATCTTATCTCTTTATCTTATCTCCCAACTGAACTAAAACTCTGTGAAGATAGAAACTAGTTTTTGTATTTTTTTGAATTTTCAGAGTCTTCTGCTATACTTAAAAGAGACTCATGATTGAAGTTAATGATGATGTTTTGATAAAGGGGGTAGGATATTAGATTTATAGCAAAAAAAGCACTCCAAAAATTGTATATATTTTTTGTTTGTCGGTTTGTTTTGTTTGTTTTTCCGGGAAGAATCTCACTATGTAGTGTACACTGGCCTTAACTCACAGCAGTCCTTCCTCAGCCTCCGAGTGCTGGGACTACAGGCATGTGCCACTATGTCCACCAAAATCTTATAATTCTTAACCTTACAGTGATTGCTTTTGTTTCATAATAATAACAGAGAAATGAGAACAATTTTATTGCAGTACAACAAAAGTCTTCAACTGTTTATTTCCCTGCTTCATTAAAAATTCTTTGTTTCCCATTAAAAAATGAGTGGTTTATGATGGTCTAATTCAACATTTTATGATTTTAACAGGATGGGAACTTCTCTATCAGTGACACATTACAAGCACCTCAAAATATGCTGGTAGTTGGACAGTCAGCATTTGCAGACTTTGGTAAGGTTATTTTTTTCTTTCAAATTCTGCCCTTTTTGAATGTCTTATTTTCACCCATCTACCAGATGACTTCAGTGATTTTAAAATGGCTCTAGATTTAAAAGATAGCTATTCTAGTATACATGTGGTCCATTCCTTAATAAAATAATGAAGGATTTATAGCATATGTGTTTTAAAGATAATCTATATTTAGTCTTCTTCGTAAGAATAACATATAACGTAAGAAGGCCTACTGAGGCTTTTCTAAAGAAAACCAAAAGTATGAATTTTTCATATAAATTTTGAATATCTCTTATCCCAAATCCTAGGGGTCAGAAATGTTTCAGATTTGGATTTTTTCAGATTTTTGTATTTATATATATGTAATTACATTTTGGGATATGAGGCCCTACTCTAAACACAAAATTTATTTATGTTTCCATGTAAATCTCATATGCCTAGCTTAAAAATTATTTTATTCAGTATTTTTAGTGTGCCTGCATTTTGACTATGACCCATCACATAAGACCATGTATGAAATTTTTGACTTGTGGCATTGTATTGGCGACCAGAAAACCAGATTTTGGAAAATAACAGAATTTCAAATGATAGATATTCAACCTATATGTCCTAAATATATAACATATAAATTTGAGGAAATTAACTTAAACTCTTGAACTTAAATATTAAAAACCATTTTTATTTACATCTTAGTTCCAAAAAAAACACGCGTCTGTTATGAATTTCTGTTTTTTGTAAGATGCTACAGTTGCTCAAGTTCCCTTTGAGAAACACGTGTGACTCGCTTCATCCTTTGTCAATATGATTGTTAAAGGGATTTTTATGTTAGATGAGGAGATGTTAAGTAGGGGATGACTGCTCCATAAAATATGTGAGAGCCCTTTCCATTTTGCTGTCCGTTTCCGTTCATCCTGCCAACCAAACAGCTCAGCCTGCTCAGCATGGCATCATCTCCACAGACCCAGCTTCCTAACTGATGAGACACTGGTGACAATAATCTTCATCTCACAGAGTGCACTGTGAATAGTACAACGTGAATAGAACACGATGACAGGCTTATAACAAGCGTACAAGAAATTGTAGTTTGAGTTATTTGTTGGATTTGGTTTTTGTTGGTGCTGCTCAGGTGACTAAATGGACTTATTGTCATGCGGAAGTATTCTAAAACAGCTGAAACAGGAGATGTGGCAGTGTTACACTGTGCAAACTTAAGCAGGAATCTGTGTTGTACTGTTTTCAGCTTTGACTATTACTTTTATTTAAACTAAATTTCTAATGCCTAGCTTATTGTTTTTTAAAGTATTCAAATGCTAAACTACATGGAGTCATTTTTAGAAATTTTCTGGTTAATTCACTTGACTGGATTAAAAACATACATTCACATCTCTCTAGGGGAAAAAAGTATATATAATTCTCCAGGATGTCACAGATTCCTATGATCACCCTCAATCTTCCATTAAGAGCCTTCACGTGAAGTTTTATGTTTTAAACTGATTGGGGTGGTCCACACCTGTAATCCCACATACTAGGGAGACTGAGCTAGAGGGATCACTCGAGCTCATGAGTTTGAGAGCAATCTGGGCAACAGAGTGAGACATCACATTCCAACAACTAAAGTAGCCAGGCATAGTTACCAGCTACTCTGGAGGCCAAACCAGGATTGCAGTTTCTAGGCCAGCCTGGGTAATTTAGTGAGGCCCTGTCTCAAAGTGAAGTAAAACAGGTTGCAGAGATAGCTCAGGGTACTTGCCTAGCAGGTACAGGACTCTAGATTCAATCTCCATTATCACAAAAATATAAATAAACTCACATGTTTTATTTAATGTGTTTTATATGAGGAAATGTTATTCTTTTTTTTTTTAATTTTATTTTGAAAGTATACAACAGAACAAGACAGAATAAAGCCAACTAAGATCGTACAGTGAAATTGGTACAGAACTTCACAGCTGGTTACCGGGATAACAGTAATAGGTATCACAATATATTTTGTTATCTTTATAATAGTTGTTCTTTCAATCACGTATATCAAAATGAGATGAAATATAGAACACTATAGCACTTATTAAAACAGAATATTGAATAGAGCAGTACCATTAATCAGAAAAGAGCGAAACAGTAATAAAAATATTTGCCTTCAAAAAGATGGTAGAAGGAAGTTCCCCTTATTTGCTATGTCAACCTCCCAGGAGACACTCAGATTTCTGGTTCCCACTTGCTAATGGACGGCAGGAGGGGAGAGAAGGGGACAGGGGAATGGGATATTTGGCTCTAGGGCATGCATCAGCATCAGTAGGTTCACTATTGCTTAGCAAGGAGGCAGGCTGGTTGTTTGCTTTCACAGCATCCTAAGTTCCAACACGGCTGTCCCCCTGGAAGGGCTGCAGTCTGCCACACTGCCACCACTTACCAGGGAGGGGAGGTGCTTGCTTGGTTTCCCAGTTTCCCAAATTTCAACATGGCGTGGATCTCAGGAGCTGCTGCTGGTTCTTCCCCTGCAAGGGCCGCAGTCTGCCACACCACCACCGCTTCCCAGGGACGGGAGGTGCTTGCTTGGCTTGCCAGTGTCCTAAGTTCCAACATGGCATGGATCTCAGGAGACACTGCTGGTTCTCCCCCTGGAAGGGCAGAAATGTTATTCTTAACAAAATTATTCATAGCTTTACTTGAAAGTTTTTTCTTTTAATTTTGTTAACTATTAGTATAGATATTTACACATTGGTATTTTAAAATATGCAGAGTATAGGTCATAATCAAATTAAGAAACAATTATTTCTCCCCTCTTTTTAAGAACTTTATCAGTAATGTTTTTTAATGTTATCAATGAATTTTTAATCTATCCACAGTGCCTTTTAAAACTCCATGTATTTTAGTTGGATATTTTGAAAAAGTATTTTTAAAAAGACTATTGAGTGGAAAAAACAGATGGTATTAAATAGGGTTATGAATATTAATGTATCCAAAATATGCATTTTTTCTACAAAAAATATACAGTTTGATACATCTGTGAATTGCATTCTGCCTTCCATTTTTCCACTCCACCCACTTCTTTAGAACCAAAACAGGAAGTCAGCACAGTTTCAGAAATTTACCATGTAGTCATTGAAGAAAGCACATTTGAATAAATGAGACAGTATGACAGGAGAAGCCTGCACCAAAGAGGACCATGAAATGACTCCTATTTTATTTATCATGTAAGTTCCCCCCTTAAAAAGGGTAATAAAGAGGGTTGGGGATTTAGCTCAGTAGTATAAGCATCTGCCTGGCAAGCACACAGTTATGAGTTCGATCCCAGGTACCAAAAAAAAACAAAAAGCTTTAAAGAAATATATCAAAATAATGGGTCATCTTATTTCCTATTTTCCCTGTTTTTTCTTATGTAATTAATTTAATAGTAAAAAACTAAATTACAAATGAGTAGTAATCAACATTGGCAGGAAAGAGACCAACCATTAGTAAATTATTTTTTAAAGTATTAGTACAATTTTTGTCACACAGCTTCTAAGTTACGTAAAACTGGTTCTATCTCCTGAGTTTTGTGAACAACTCTTTTAAAATAGTTATATTATTTCACAGAAACATTAAGTCCTATAAATAAAACACAAAACTTAGACTTTTGCTATACTTAAACTAATGTACTGAAAATCATGTAAGAAAACTGAGATAGTGTAGTTTTGAAAACAGCAGAAAAGTATGTTAAAAAAATACAAGAATAATAAACAGCTGCCACAGAATAAAAGAACAACCAGATTATTTCATTGTAAATGATGAAATTAATACCAAGAAAAACTTCAGTCTAAGTCCTATAGCAGTGTAGATCATTCTAGGCTGAGATGGGGTTGCCTTACTGAAGAGGTGGATTTGGCCTTGGAATGAGAAGCAGTTCGAGGTTTGGCTAACAATTGGTGTATATGCGAAAACCGCACTGATTAGAGATTAGTAAATAAACCAATTGGGTTTGAATGGAGCTTTTCTGTAAAACCATAGAATATACAAATTAACTGTGAACACATTGGATTACCAAGTGCTAGCTAACAAAGGGAAATGATAGGACAGTGCTGAGCTGGCCTTTCTTTACTGCCTTTTTTATTAACAAGGAATTTAGTTAAACAGAATTATTTGACCTGGTGGGGAGATAAAGTAATATTTCTTAAGCATTAGAATCAGAGTTCAGGGGACATTATTAGAATTTCTAATGTGTCTGAGACTTTTATAACAAAAAAGCCATATCAAAACAATTTTAGTACCCTTGTATTTTCTAGGGATGAGAACCAGTCGGGATATGAGGTGGAGCTACATCAAAAAATGGAGGAACAATCAGTGAAATTTACTGATTGGTTTGATAGTAGAGACTGTAAAAAGTAAAATAAATTGACTCTGAATGATTTGAAGGATGCATAAAGTAGGAAAACAAGGAAAGAAAACTAGATCGAATATTAAAGTACCTTAGAGTTATCACATTAACCAAGTTGATAAGCACCAGAGCTGGAACATCTATCAAAGCCGTTTAGAGAGCTTTCTACAAGTCAAAAAGAAGATCAAGACATAGATGAGCCCTCCAAAGGTGTGAAATAAAGGTAGATAGAAGGCTCAAGATAGAGGAGTGCTAAAAGGTGGTCAGAAACTGTTGACAGAGCGCTAAAAGGTGGTCACAAACTGTTGACAGAGAATGACTGAGAAAAGACTTGTTTGGTTTTATGGTTTAGCAGGGCATGTGGGTTGCCAGCATTAGCATTTACAGAACTCAGAGCAGTCCTTGAGCCATCAGAATCACCCAGTGAATAGTGGCTATTATCGGTTTTTCAACGAGATTGTGCCCTTGCCTCATGCTTGGAGATCTGTAGCTTGTATGTTCCTCATTAGCTAAGCAGTCTCTAAAGGAATGTGCATCTTCTAAACAGACATGTTTTGTATCTTGCTGTATCCTGTATCAATCACCCCATTAAAACAGTATTTTAGAGATGGGTCATCTTGTCAGTAGGATCAGAATATCAAAGTCCTGA